GGGTAAATGGGACAAGGTTAATAAATCAGCCGGTAGGCCACTAACTCCAGAAACAATCTTTTGTTGAGCTTGGTAACATGCCCGGCAATTACAGTGGCCTGAGAAATGAGCTCCCATTTCTGCCTACTGTACCAAAATACTAAGTTTATCGGAAGGCTTGAACAGCAAGACTGTGGAGCCCTGAGTGGTGATCACAGGAAAAGGTCCCTTTGGGGTGGTACAGGGAAGTGACCCTGCAGCTGTGGTTCTGGAGGGAGTAGAGGGGGATGCTGCGGTGGTGGCAGCTCCTGTAGCTGGTAAGGGGTCCTACCAACAAAAATTAAAGTCACTAACTCTCCACAGGATGCAACGTGGGCCAGTCCAATGGGTGAAAAGCAAAGGAAAACAACTAAGAGTTTAAAGAGGTCCCCCAAAAGTTGTGAGACTTGACACATACCTAATCTTCCAAACCTCAAAGGTGCAACGGAGGAGAGCAGCTTAGCAGTCCAAGACCTACGTCACCTTTGAGCAGCAGGCGCTGCAGTAAGCGAGAGCGTCCTGGGGCGCCCAGTTAGCTCTGCACAACGTCATTCAAAGGGATCATCCGAAGGAGCCGGTCCAGCCCTCGAGTCCCAGGGAGCGCTCGCCATCATCAGCCCCTATCATCAGTCTCCTCAGAGTCTTGTCTGCTCTACTGAAAGGCTGACATGCAGCATTCAATAGCTCCTACGATCATGGGCTGGGGTGCTGTCACCTCAGCCTTGTCACAGGTGGAGGGAGCCGCTCCTGAGGGGCGGCTCTCCCAGGCAGGGGAATCGAGGGGCAGGGGATCTAACAGGGTCACAGAGATTTGGGATGCCCTGAATAAGGTTTGTTTGCACCACCGGGAGCATTTACTGATATCACAAATTTTCAATAAAGTCTGGCAGGGGTTTCCCCAGAGGCACACCTCGCAAATGACTGGGAGGTGCTCTCCTGTGAGGCCCAGGAGGTATCCACCTGTGAAGAGTAAAGGCTGGGGCACACATGAAGCACTGTTATAAAGAAAATTTAGCTGTATGTTCCCAACAATTTAATGACTGGCCTTGCATCACCAGAGAGGAGTATGAACTGCGTACGCCTATCAGCCAATGAGGGTTGAAATTAGGGCAATGTAATGCCCAGTGCCCAGAGGTCAGGATGTCGGTGGCCACTTGGGCAAGGCTGGAGGTCTTTAAACATTTGTGCCACTGGTACCATTTAAGATAGAGGTCTTGAATCCCCTGCTAGTACCCACACCTGGTGGTATTTTGGGCACTGTCCTCCCACTCTGGGGTGGAACTGCTATCTAAGAAAAACATCACACAAATCCCAACTGACAGACATTTTACAAAATACCTGAGAAGTATTCTCAAAACTGTCACAGTCATCAAAAACAAGTGAAGTCTGAGAAACTGTCAGAGCCAAGAAGCCTAAGGAGACAGGATGACTACGATGTGTATCCTGGACTGGACCTTTAGTTTTTACCTAATGTCCTTAGAAGGGGGGAGGGGAGAGACTAAAGAAACCCGAATAAATTCTGATGTTAGTTAATAATAATGTATCAGTCCTGGCTCATTAATTGTAATAAATGTGCCATACTAATGTAGGTTGTTAATAACAGGAGAAACTTGGGGCGCCTGGCTCAGTGGGTTAGGCCGCTGCCTTCGGCTCGGGTCATGATCTCAGGGTCCTGGGATCGAGCCCCGCATCGGGCTCTCTGCTCAGCAGGGAGCCTGCTTCCCCCTCTCTCTCTCTGCCTGCCTCTCTGCCTGCTTGTGATCTCTGTCTGCCAAATAAATAAATAAAATCTTTAAAAAAAAAAAATAACAGGAGAAACTTGGCATGGCATATAAAAGAACTCTCAGTACTACTCTGTAATGCAATTTTCTATGAATCTAAAACAATTCTAAAATAAAATGAATTTTAAAAAGATGGGGTGCCTGGGTGACTCAGTGGGTTAAAGCCTCTGCCTTCGACTGGGGTCATGATCTCAGGGTCCTGGGATCGAGCCCCGCATCAGGCTCTCTGCTCAGCGGGGAGCCTGCTTCCTCCTCTCTCTCTGCCTGCCTCTCTGCCTATTTGTGATCTCTCTCTGTCAAATAATTTTTTAAAAAATTTTTATTTATATATATATATATATATATATATATATATATAAATAAAAGAGACCAGAGAAACTTCTCCGTGGCTCAGTCAGTTAAGCATCCAACTCCTGGTTTCAGCTCAGGTCATGATCTCAAAGTCATGAGACTGAGCCCTATGTATGGCTCTGTGCTCAGTGGGGAGGCGACCTGAGATGTTCGTTCTCTCTTTCTCTGCCTTGCCACCCCCCATGCCTGTGCACATGCGCACACACACTCTCCCTAGAATAAATAAAATCTTGAAAGAAAAAAAAAACCCCAAAACCAGAAAGACTGTGTCAGAATGAACTTATTTTATACAACTAAAATAACCTAATCCTAGGATACCTGAGATTTGCTTCCAATTAACCAACAGAAGGTAAGACAGGTGGGGTTACAAATGAAAAAACACTGTATGAAAAACCTGAAGAATATTTCTTTTAGAAGTTGATACTTAAGTCTGGCTTTAGAAAATAAGATTCCAATGGCCAAATACTGAAATATTTCAAGGAGAAAGTTCAAGTCTTGGAAAATTGCAACATAAATATTTGTTTTTAGTTTTTCAAACAAAACAGCAAGTGGAAAGGATGGCTATAATGAACAGATCAGCTGGTTAAGACTAGTGGAAGGTAATTACTTCTATGAGGACAGGCTGGGGCTCTGATCCTGAGGATGAGACTTAACTTGTTCTGCATGCAAAAAAAACTAGCTAATGTCTTTAAGAAAATATATCTTATGGAAAAAATACTAGCAGCCGTGTATAATGCTTTGGGACGGGGCGGGGGGGGTAGTTCTAGCTTGAAATTCGAATCTAAGCTTCAAAGCAATGTTAAAAATAAACACCAAAATTTTAGTTTAAGTTCCAATGAAATAATAGCAGAAGAGGAGCAAGCACTGAACCTCTGAGGACATGCACAGTTAAAAATCTGGTGGAGGGGCACCTGGGTGTCTCAGTGGGTTAAAGCCTCTGCCTTCAGCTCAGGTCATGGTCTCAGGGTCCTGGGATCGAGCCCCACATCGGGCTCTCTGCTCGGCGGGGAGCCTGCTTCCTTCTCTCTCTCTGCCTCTCTGACTACTTGTGATCTCTCTCTCTCTCTGTGTCAAATAAATAAATAGATGTCTTTTAAAAAAATAAATAAAAATAAAAATCCGGTGGAAAAGGAAGTACTAATAAAGGACATGAAAAGGATCACAAAATCGAGACCCACAAGAGGGAGTACTGACCAGCAACATGAAGTGTCACAAAGATTTGGAGGTCAAGTCAGCAGGAGTTGAGGTGGAAGCATCAGATTTAACCATAGGAAGGCATGAAGGTCTTAAGAGAGCAGTTTTAGGGGCACCTGGGTGGCTCAGTGGGTTAAGCCTCTGCCTTCCGCTCAGGGTCCGGGGATTAAGCCCCACATCAGGCTCTCTGCTCAGCAGAGACCTGCTTCCCTCTCTCCCTGCCTTATCCCTCATCTGCCTACTTGTGAGCTCCCTGTCAAATAGATAAATAAAATCTAAAAAAAAAAAAAGGCAGTTTTAAAAATGGGAAGGATTATTTCCTCAAAAAAGTCAAACAGATGTTACCCTATGATCCAGCCATTCCACTCCCAAGTTTTTACCCCAGAGAATCAAAAACAGGTGCATGTAGCCTCATGTTCACAGCAGCACTATGCACAGCAGCCCGTCAAGAGATGAACCAATAAACAAACTGTGATATAGCCAAAAATGGAACTCTAATTCGGCCACAAAAAGGCAAGAAGTCTAACAGACGCTCGCCATGTATGAAATCTGAAAACAATACATGAAATAAGCCCGACACAAAAAGAAAAATACCGCAGGACTCCACTTGCAGGAGGTACTCACAGCAGTCCAATTCGGAGAGGCAAAAAGGGTCCGGGAGAAGGGGCAATGGGAAGTTACTGCTTCACGGTTAGAGTTTCTGCACGGAGCGATCAAAACGTTTTGGAAATAGACTGTGATGCAATACTGTGAAAGTACTTAACACAGCTGAATCGTACACTCAAAAATCGGTTATTATGGACATTGGCGAGGGTATGTGCTATGGGGACTGCTGTGAAGTGTGTAAGCCCGAGATTTACAGACCCGTACCCCTGGGGCAAATAATACATTATATGTTAATTTTAAAAATTTTTATTTAAAAAAAGGTTAAAATGATAAATTTCATGTTGCATAAATGTTTAAAAAAACTAAGTAGACTCCGAACTGCAAGGAAGAAACAGCACAGACACTGCCCAGAGAAGATGTGAAAACTGGGTCTTTCACCACCTTTAACTACAAAGTGCAACGGACACACACGGAGGGTGGGGAGGTTTCCTCCTTTCTGTCTTAAGGCAGAGTAGGTTTCCACATACAAATTTCTGGATAAAAGCTTGGAACTTAGTGGAGTAAAACAAACAGACTTTAAAGTCGGGTCTAAACCTGTGATCTGCGGGAAGAGAGGGCGCAGGAAAACCATGAAAAGCACAGTTATAATTTCGCTGTATCTTTGGACACGGACCAACCAAACAAGGGATTTCGCAACGCAAGGCTGGGGAGGAGCGCTGACCCCACTCTCCTCCGACGGTGAACAGAAGCGCCGCCAGTCTGTCAGGAGCGCGCTAGGACTCCTCCGAGGACGAAGTCTTTCAGAACTGGAGGCCAAGGACTTGGTATTTTCAGATTTATCCAAACGCCACGGAATTTAAGAACGTCGGGAAATTACACGAGGCAAACAGCCCAATTTCTCCAACAAGCAAACAGAAAGGAAAGAGAAACCAGAGGCACATCAGCCAAATGCCGTGTGTCAAGGCGAGCTGTGGAGCCTCCCGGGAAACGCGAGCGGCCCGGCTGGGGGGGCGGGTGCAGCTCTCACTTCTCTCTCGCGTCTGCCATCTGTTACCGCCTCTGCCGCACCACCTCCTTCTCTCGGAAGACCGAGCCGCAGGGCTCCGACCCTCGTTCCGAGAAACAGCGGCGGGAGCCCCGGGCCCACGGCTCCGCGACCCCAGCGCGGCCCAGACCCGCCGACAGGGGCGCGCCGGGTCCCGCGGGCGGTTCCTCCGTCAACACCCAGTCCCCGGGGGCGGTGCTCGCGGTCCGACTCCGCAGCGGGCAGCCGGGCGTCAGGCCCCGGGCGCAGCCTTCAGCCTTGGGATCTCGGGGCCGCGCGCCGGAGCCGCTAGCTTGAGGCACTGAGGGGACCACGGAGGCCGCGCGGGCTCACAGGCCGCCGCGCCAGGCCGCGCGCTACTCACCCTGACGCAGGCAGCGCAGAATCCCGGGCTTCTGGGACTCCGGCTGTGGCATCTTCCCTCCCGCCACAGCCCGGGTCCGACCCGCATTAGCCACAGCAGGGGGAGTTGCCCGGGAAGAAACGCTGCACCGGGCGCAGTGCTGGCCGCGGACTCCCGCGCCGCAGTCTCAGACTGAGCGCGCTTGCCCCTGGAGCCACGTGACAGAAGGCCCCGCCCCCGCGCGTGGGTGACGTCACCGCCCGCGCCTGGTGTGGCGCTGGCGAAGTCTGCAGCGTTCGCGAAGCTCCCGGCTCGGCGGCGGCCCTGAGGGTCTGTGACGGGCGGCTTGGGTTTTTTTCTCGTTGTAAAACCCCCTCGATGAGGACAAGCGGGCGTGTACGTATTAGAAGATGTGCAGCTTCAGCTTTGCTCAAACAAATGCGGGTTCCACTGTGAAGGCTTTGCGGTGTCCCTCTCCGAGGAGCCGTGGAAAGCCCTCACGCTGGGGGGCAGGTGCACCAGTGTGGCATCCCAGGAAGAGCGGCCGCAGCAAGCGGCGTCGGTGTCACCTGGGGGCTGCTTGGAACTACTGACGGGGGGCACCTGGGTCGTTCAGTGGGTTAAGCCTCTGCCTTCGGCTCAGGTCATGATCCCAGGGTCCTGGGATCGAGCCCCGCATCGGGCTCTCTGCTCAGTGGGGAGCCTGCTTCCCTTCCTCTCTGCCTGCCTCTCTGCCTGCTTGTGATCTTGTCAAATAAATAAAATCTTAAAAAAAAAAAAAAAACCAAACTGCTGAATCGGAAGCCCTTTGCCACACCTACCTAGTAATTAATATCTGCGTTTTAGCAAGATCTGCAGGCGAGGCGCACAAACCGAAGTTTGGAATCCCTGTGCTAGCCAGCGGTCAGCGCCTGAGAGCTTCCGCTGCTCACTCCACCTGCTCCCGACCCTTGGTAGCGTCAGGTATTTGAATGTTTGCCATTCTGACGGGCCTGGCATGGAATTTTTTTCTAGCTGTTACTTTAAATGTTTCTATGCTATTCCATCAAATTAGTGCATAATGGTATAAACCTAGCAGTTGAGGTTTGGGTTAGCTCCAGTTTTGCTGTTAGGAAGAATGACACAAATTTTAGCTCTTTGCAGCCTCATGTTGTGGTTAAGCCCAGTCTTTGACACTGGGCTGATTCTGTCCCCATATAGTTACCAGATGAAATACAGGATGGCCTGAAATTTCCATTTCAGAGCAACAAAGAACAATTTTGTGGTGTAAGTATGTTCCGTGGAATATGTGAAATATACTTCTAACAAAATATTGTGTATTCGAAATTCGGATTTCAAAGACAGAGCATCCTGTATTTTTGTTTGCTAAAATTGGCAACCCCAGTCTGTGAACAAATTCTAACTTTGGTTTTCTCATCTGTGAAATGGTAATAACAACGGGGCCTATCTTATGTGTGGTTGAGCTGAGATAATCCGGGCAGAGTACGTGCCACAGCCTATGAAACATAATGGGAGCTGTTTCATGCTGGCATGTCTTAGGCTACATTCCGAGAAGTATGCTTTAATTAGAGAACTCCCGGGCTTACTTTAAGGTTTGTCTGAACATTCGCTCATACCAAAAACTGTGTTTTAGGGAAAGCTTTGAGTGGGTTAGCTCCAAAATAGAAGTCAGGTTTTTAAGTTTCCACATGAAACAGAAAATTGCCACCTATAAGCTAATATGGATTTCCTTTCAATCACACCAATACTTGGATATTTATTCTGATTTCTATTCCAGACTTGTCTAAGGAATATACTACATCATGTCTAAGACTTGCCCACACTGTTATCTGGTACCTGAACCAACAGTCACAGTAAAAAATTAAACCTTAAGGGGTACCTGGGTGGCTCAGTCTGTTGAGCACCTGACCTTTGGATTCAGCTCAGGTCATGATCTCAGGGTCTAGATCGAGCCCTGCGGCCGGCTCCGTCCGCACTACGTGGAGAGTCTGCTTGAGATTCTCTCCCTCTCCTTATGTCCCTCTCCTCCCACCCCTCTCTCCCCATGCCTGCATGTGTGCCCTGTCTCTAAGGAGAAAAAAAGAAAACCAACTAAGACCTAATATTAGGCTCATGGGTCTAAGAACATTTGTCTTTTTCTTCCGGCAAAGCTGATTATTTGCAACATCCTCCTTTATGCTTACCAAAGGAAAAAAAAATTATTCTCAAATTTCAAAACTAAAAAAAAGTTATTTCAAAATGATTTATTTATACTAAATTTTTTTCCTTCTGCTATAGATTTCTATTTTGTATTTTACTCCAATTTTAATAGATCCATGTGTTTATTATAAACATTTTTTATTACTTCCTAGAAGCAGGTAAAGTATAAATATGGGCCAAGAATAAAATCATAACGTGGTGCTTATTTTGTGTTGCCAGATTGACTTTTTAAAGGCTCAGTCAAGGGGCGCCTGGGTGGCTCAGTGGGTTAAAGCCTCTGCCTTCGGCTCAGGTCATGGTCCCAGGGTCCTGGGATAGAGCCCCACATCGGGCTCTCTGCTCAGCGGGGAGCCTGCTTCCCCCTATCTCTCTGTCTGCCTCTCTGCCTACTTGTGATCTCCGTCTGTCAAATAGGTGAAATCTTTAAAGAAAAATTCTTTAAAGGCTCAGTCAAATTCCCTGACCACTGTAATATATAAGCCCAGGTCTTCCCCATGTCATTCTAACAACAGATTCTATAAAGTAAGTTGCTAAATACGTATGTATAAAGAGATCATAGTAACTGGCTCTTTTTTCTTTACATTATATGGATTATCTCAAAGAACAGGAGCTCCATGAAGGGAGGGATGTTTTGTTGTTCCCCCGTCTGCTGTGTCCCAGCACCTAGAAGGATATCTGGCCCTGGATGACCACTCAGTTGTCGACTGAGTAAGCATAAAAGATAAGTTGTCTCCTGCTATAAAAACTAGTTTAGGGGCACCTGAGTGGCTCAGTGGGTTAAAGCCTCTGCCTTCGGCTCAGGTCATGATCCCAGGGTCCTGGGATCGAGCCCCGCATCAGGCTCTCTGCTCAGCGGGGAGCCTGCTTCCTCCTCTCTCTCTCTGCCTGCCTCTCTGCCTGCTTGTGATCTCTCTCTGTCAAATAAATAAACAAAAAATCTAAAAAAAAAAAAAAAAAAAAACTAGTTTATATGCTAGGTTTAGTGATCCTACCCCAAGTCTCCCCCAGTTCTTTTATTCCTTTCAATGTGTTTTCCCCCTCATTTTCTCATTGTTTCTGTGAATTAGATATATGCCCCCTTTCTAGCCACCTTCACCAGGGTGAACACAATAGCCATCCTTCTAACCCAAAAGAAATACTTTAGACATTTGGGGGATGCCGGGGTGGCTCAGCGGGTTGGGCCTCTGCCTTCGGCTCAGGTCATGATCTCAGGGTCCGGGAATTGAGTCTCATATCAGGCTCTCTGCTCAGCGGGGAGCCTGCTTCCCCCTCTTTCTCTGCCCATCTCTCTGCCTACTTGTGATCTCTCTGTCAAATAAATAAATAAAAATAGACATTTGGGAGTGTGTTCACACAGGGTAGATAGGGAACTTAGCTACTTCTTCCCCAGTCCCAGCTAAACAGTTCTTAGTCAGAACATAGATTAACAACAGAGCGCATAATTCAAGAAGGGTCAGGAGAGCTGTAAGCCAGAGCCATGGGAGGGGAAAAATATGAACAAGGCAAAACTGGAAGCATGGAAGAGGGACTGTCTCATAATGACAAAAGGACTGACACACACAAACCAGAAGGCCAGCCTAGAGAACTGGACACCACAGCAAGTGGATGGGACGTCGGAAACTCAGGAACCCAGCCAAGCAAGGGATCAGTTCCAGTATCTACACTGGCAGCAAGAGAGGAGCTCGAAACAGTTGAGCTGAAGTTGGTATGTACCAACCAAGGCTCTCTGTGAATGTCTTTCTGAGAAGGCCACCAGGCCAGGTCACCTGCCTGGAGTGAATGGAGTTGACAAAGGCTCCAGAAATGGAACCTTCCCTATGGTCCAACAGGACCAAATGAGTTTGGCAAATAACGAAGAGAATACACTTCATCTCACACAATTGTATAATAGTCTTATCTGTGTGACCGTGTATATTTCTAACATTCAAGGTTTTGCTGCCCCAGAAATGTAGTGGCATGTGTAACAAAGTGTTAAGAACTATCGTTAAAGGAAGACAGAAAGGCACTCTGGTTGTATTTCTTACTGCATGTCACATAATTTCATGTTGTTCCAAACTCGCATCAGGTCTGGAACTGTGTTCTTTGCTGTGTTGAAGATCTCAGAGGTTTTTAGCCCTTCATTAATGAAAATGATTTGTTTCCTTTTCTTTGGCTGTCCTTAGATGTCTCCAGTTCTGGGAAGACATTATCCAAATACCACTGAAATGGTTTGCAACCCAACCGTTTCCTCAGTTCAACGCGCTCGCTGATGTTTCCGTAGGCAACAGATTTCAGACCAGGTTGTCGTAAAAAAAACTGCTCCTAAATGGAAATAGAGAGTCAGTCATTCCATTAAACCAAACAAGCCGTATCTAACATAGCAGTATATCCTTCCATCACCTGAACAAGAACAACAAAAATCAGAAGACCTTCTGATTCCATCCGTAGAGTGAGGGCAGAGACACACGTGGTACCTGGATTCCCTCACCCCATGCGCATTCACAGTATGTGCTGTGACAAACCACAACGGAGGGGTGTAGAGGGATCCAGGGTGGGACCCAGGGATTCCGTGCTGCTTCTTAGAAGCCCAAGAATCACAGCCACCTATGGTGACATGTTTATATGTTCAGATTTTAAAAGACTTTGAAAGTATGTTTTTTAAAATATACTAACAGATAGGGGCTCTGTGGAGCAGCTAGGAGCTACCTAGGTGGCTCAGTTGGTTAATCATCTACCTTCAGCTCAGGTCATAATCCCAGGGTCCGGGAACTGAGCCACTCCTCAGGCTCGCTGCTCAGCAGGGAGTCAGCTTCTCCCTCTTCCTCTGCCCAACCCGCACTCCCCCCACCGCCCCTGCCTCCACCCATGCACTCACTCTCTAAAATAAATAAATATTTAAAAAAAAATAAAATATGCTAACAGGTGGAAAAATTGCAGAACAAAATATTGTGTGAATCTCATTATATAAAAGGATATATATTTGTTTTTAAATGTGTGTTAACAAGAAACTATTCATTTTAGTGATTGCTAAATTTAGTGATTTAGCACTTGCTAATTTAATGTTACTTCTGAGGGGTGGAACCATATATGGTCTGAGAAAGCTTGCTTTTCACTTAGTACTCTTTCAGTACTGTATGACTTTTAAACATGAGTATGTTTTACCTTTTAAAAAATAATTTCTTTTAAAATCAGGAGATATAATAAGTATACAAAAAGTATATAAAATTCAATGTGCAACTTAATGAATTGTTGAAAAATCAACCCCCGTGATACTGACTAGGTCAAGAAATACTACACAAACAATCTCCTCGAAGCCCCCAGCCTTTCCCGTCCTGAGCGAAGCCTTTCCCTTGGTTTTAAATGCTATCTTGATTATGTATTCATGCTTTTGCTTTTCTTTTTAGCTTTATCTAATTGTGCACACATAAATTATGTGACTTAATTTTACCCATTTTTAATTTAATAGGAACTGGAATAAATCAGTATACATTCTATTGTTTTTGGCTGCTTTACTTCACCGTTATGTCCTAAAGATGGGCTGTACTGTTGTATGTATGTCTACGGTTAATTTTCATGGCCAAATAGAATTATATCAATTAAATATGTCGCATTTATCCATTTTGATCCTGATGAGCACGTGGGCTGTATTTAGTGTTGGCTAACACCTACAATGCTGTTTGTAAACATTCTCGTTCATGCATTCTTGCACAAAAGCGTGTCTTTCTGGGATGTATGTGTAGGATGGAATTGCTAGATCGTGGGATATTCATGATCTTTACTTGATTTTGCCAAACTGTCTTCCAAAGTGAGTTTGTAATAATGAGTGCTCCCACACGCGATGTCTGAGAATTCCTGTGCTTGCCAATACTTGGTCCTATCAGACTTTAAACAGTTTTGCCAATCTAAGTGACTACATAGAAATACCTCACTGAGGCTTTAATCTGCATTGTCCTATTACTAGAGAAAGAGTATTACTTTTATAATTTAAAATAATAAATAAATATTAGATTAAGACCAGAACATAGACTATCATAGAGAGATTCTTACACATTTCTCCCCACGTATCTGACATGAGGTCTTGTTGGAGTTACCGCGATATTGGTTTGTGCATGGATCCCGCAGGGACCACTTTCAAATGGGGCCAGAGCGGCATGTTCTCTGTGCGTCGTTTTAGGTCCTGGCTAGGGGCTGAAGGCTTGGGGAGGTGCACAGATGAAGGAGCATGGCTTTGATAGAGAAATCTTTGACTGTTGGTTGAAAAGAGGTAATTGGGGGTCCCTGGGTGGCTCAGTGAGTTAAGCCTCTGCCTTCGGCTCAGGTCATGATCCCAGGGTCCTGGGATCAAGCCCCACATTGGGCTCTCTGCTCAGCGAGGAGCCTGCTTCCCCATCTCTCTCTGCCTGCCTCTCTGCCTACTTGTGATCTCTGTCTGTCAAATAAATAAAATCTTTAAAAAAAAAGAAAAGAGGTAATGGAGTTTCTCACGTGGTCTCCAGATCACAGCAGCTGCATCCCTTGAGAACTTGGTAGTAGAGGAAGAGAATCTGGGGAGCTGCCTGTGGGGAGGAGGGCAGGGAGAGCTGCTTCAGAGGGGCACTGCTTAGGAGGGGAAATAGATCTGGGCCAAACAAACTTCCGGTGGTGGCTGATTTACTTCTGAGAAACTTGAGTTTCCCTAGAAATTAAAAAGTAATGCTCCAGGGCAGTAGGTTCGAATGAACCAATTGAGAATAGGGTCTGGGGAAGGTAGATGAGTGGCTGACAGCTAATTTAAGGAAAATAGAGGGAAAAATCAAAAAATTTGTTGTCTGGAAAGGTAGTAGTAACAGGTGTCTTTAGGGCAATCCCATTCTGTACTCTTGCTTGTCTTTCCAAATCAGAGACGTTTCCTTCACCTTGTATTGGTCCAGCCAAACGTGCACCAATCTGAGATTGTTATAGGTCACGGATTTCATAAAACCAGGTCGATTGGGAAAGCGCGGCTTATTGATGAGTCCCACTCGCGAGCAGGGGAGTATGAAAAGTTGGCCTCCACACATCCAGATCTAGGCGAAACCGAAAAACATTAATGCATGTTTGCTAGTAGTACTAGGCAACTGCAGAATCTTTTTTTTTTTTTTTAACAAACATAGGAATAGCTAACATGTCTTAGGTTGTTCATTTAATCCTCACAACAACCCTATAATGTGGATACTGTCATTATCCCCACTTTACAGATAAAGAAATTCATACGTATGTTGAGTAAGAAACTTGCCCAGTGACAGAGAGTGCAGGGTTTAAACTCAGGAAGTTTGGCCTCCGCGTCAGCACTCCAAATACAAAATAATTCTGTCTCCCTCATAAAAAACAATCCTTTGATTTTGTTTTGTTCTTTTATTTATTTGACAGAGAGTGTGAGCGAGTGAGCACAAGCAGGGGGAACAGCAGGCAGAGGGAGAGGGAGAAGCAGTTTCCCCGCTAAGCAGGGAGCCTGATGCAGGACTTGATCCCAGGGCCTTGGAATCACGACCTGAGCCAAAGGCAGATGCTTAACCCACTGAGCCACCCAGGTTCCCCATATGTGACCTATTCTGATGCTGATTATGTATAAAAAGTGGCAAAATAGTTTGTCTTCAAATATTCACCAATGATGTTCTGAGCATGACTACGTGATAAGAAAACACTGATCAGGGCTAAATTCAATGATACCTCTTTTTTGTACTTTAAACAGTTTATAAAACTTCTTTTAAAGATTTTTATTTATTTGACAGAGAAAGAGAGCACAGCAGGGGAACAGCAGGCAGAGGGAGAGGGAGAAGCAGGCTCCCCAAGCAGGGAATCAGATGTGGGGCTCGATCCCAGAACCCTGGGATCATAACCTGAGCCAAGCAGATGCTTCACTGACTGAGACACTCAGGCACCCCTGGATCTCATTTTCATCTGAAATTGAGAACTACACAGTTGTTCACTTAAGCTACTGTTTGGGGGACACTTTGTTATATATCAAAAGCTAACTGCTACTAGCTATCTATAATGTTTTATTCTCTTTTTTTAAAGTGAGAACTTAAGGATATTTGGAAGATCATTAGTATCTGTTTGATAATTAGACTGGAGAAAGCACGGTTTATTATGTTTGAAATGTTTCTTGATTAGAAAAGAAATCTGGCATACAGAACAGAAAACAAAAGTAATCAAAGTGATAGAAGAGGTACAAGACTAAAAATTTTATGAGAAAACATTCTCAAAAATCACGGGATGCCTGGGTGGCACAGTCCGGCGAGCACACCTGACTCTTGGTTCTGGCTCCGGTCATGATCTCGGGGTCGTGCGCTTGAGCCCTACGTTGGACACCACCCTCACTTCGGAGTCTGCTTGGAATTGTGTCTCTCCCTCTGGCTCTCTCCACGCCCCTGGAATGAATGAATAAATAAATCTTTTAGAAAAAGTCAAATTGTGGACGCCGGGCTGCTCAGTCGGCTAAGCAGCTGCCTTCGCCTCAGGTCATGATCCCAGGGTCTTGGGATCGAGTCCCGCATCGGGGTTCCCTGCTCAGCGGGGAGCCTGCTTCCCCCTCTCCCATGGCCTGCCGCTCTGCTGACTTGTGATCTCTGTCTGTCAAATAAATAAATAAATAAGATCTTTTTAAAAAATCAAATTGAAGGACGCTGCAGGAATTGAGCCTAATCTTCCTGGGGCTCATGCATTTGTTCTCTTCCTCTCGGTTCATTCTCTAGAGGGACACGATCCGTCTGGACATACACTTTGCTGGGCTCACTGGCCATGTAGACGATGGTCCGCTTGCTTTCTCAGAAGTTCTGCTGGAGGTTGTCCACCCAGCTCCCAGTTTCTACTGTTGTTATTATTAGTAGTAGTAGTAGTTGTAGTAGTACTAGTAGTAGTAGTAGTAGTAACAGCACTGGCACCCCACTGAGAGTTGAGCTAACACAGTGGGTAAGAGCACAGACTCTGGGACGCTCAGTACAGTTCGAATCCTCCATCAGCTGTATGAACGAAGGCAAGTTACTGCAGTTACTCAACCTACTTGTGCCTCAGTTTCCTCAATTGCAGAGTGAGAGTAAGTACCCACCTAATGGGATTGCTATGAGCGTTAGATAATTTGATGCTTATAAAATGCTTAGAGTTTGTGTTTGTAAATCAGCGTGTATCTCTGCTGTAGTGAAGTGTGGTAGGTTGCCAGAATGGCCACACATCTTCATTCCTCTATGTACACTTCTGTGCAACGTAACATTGTCCCTCATTCCATCAAGACTTAAAGCTTATTTCTCCACCTCTTAAATCTGGCCTTAGCCACATGATTTGCTTTGGCCAATGGGACCTTAACAAATGTGACACAAACAGATGCTTGAAGTGTTTGCTGCACGGGACTTCATTTGCTACTCTTGGGAACCCTGTGACCATCTCACCAGAAATGAGCCTGAGCTAGCCTGACTGATGTAAGAGACAAATGGCAAGTCATCTCCACTGCCCCAGTGATCACTGGGCAAATGTCCAGACACGCAAATGATGTCATCCTAGACTCGCCAGCCCCAGCTGAGCCTCCAGATGAACACAGATATATAGGCAATACCAGTAGAAACCAGCCATCCTGTCTCTGACCAGAAAAGCCACTTTGGCAACACAGTGAATTATGAGAAATTAGAACTGTTTGCTGTTTTAAGCCACTGTGTTTCAGGATAGTTTGTTATACAGCAAAAGCTAACTGATACATGAGGGGACATTTTTCTCTTAACTTCAGTTTTACTCATTAAGTAAAACAGACCTTCATCCACTTGGTTGTTTATTCCAGAAACTTGGTCTGATAGATGGAAATATTGTTCAGCAAATATTAGTTCACTCTCCCATCCCTCACTTTGGGGCAAAGTTTATTTCTTGGACATCCTGACTTTGGGCTTGTCCCTCTGTTGCCTTGGCCAACACAATGGGAGTAGACATGATGCATGCTGAAGCTTTAAATATGCTTTGTGGTCTGGCTTGACTTTTGCATCCTTGCCCATCCAAATGAGAAGAATATGCTGGGTTGCTACTAGTCACCACTCATATACCAGTACCTCAAATACTAGTAGAATAGTAATACTAGTAGAACACAAATAGAATTTTTTTTTTTTTACACAAGTAGAATTCTAATACTCATAGAATGATGAATGGACCTGAACTGAAGTCAAAGACTAGAGCCAAGCCCAGACCATCTAAATTCAGAGGCAGAGGGACGCCTGGGTGGCTCAGTTGGTTGGATGACTGCCTTCAGCTCAGGTCATGATCCCGGGGTCCTGGGATCGAGTCCCACATCGGGCTCCCAGCTCCATGGGGAGTCTGCTTCTCCCTCTGACCTTCTCCTCGCTCATGCTCTCTCTCACTGTCTCTCTCTCAAATAAATAAATAAAATCTTTAAAAAAAAAAAAAATAAATGCAGAGGCAGAGTCCCCCTTGCCCGCCCATGAACATATGAAAGAAACAACCTAATGCTTATTGGTCTAAGTGATTCAGCGTTGAGCTGGTTTGTAACATAGCATCATCATGGCATTAGCCGACTGATAATGGCCTGTCTGGGACACTGCTTTGTCTTAACATCCATCTTACCTGCTCAGTCTCTAAGTTCTATCCACTCTAATCATAAGATATGCCTGGAATCTGTCCAGTCTTCCCGCCTCCATTACAACCACTCTAGTTCCATCCAAGGTTACCCTTTGTCCAGATCATCACAAGAAGCTCCTGCTCTCCCTGCTTATCCCCCACTTTGTTCATCTCCATCACTGTCCTACCTAAAACCTACCTGCAGCATTCCACCATGCATAAGATACAACCTAAAACCTTACAAGGTTCTGGGGCGTCCTGCCCTTGCCCCCTCTCCAGCCTTCGCTTATCCTTCTCTCCTTGCATCATGGCCCAGCCTCACTGGCCCTTCTCCACTGGAAAGCTGCCTATTTTCTGAGTCTGCAGGCAGAAATCAGGGCATTACTAAGTATTTTCTTTCTTCTGTAATCTGTATTTGTTTTCATGAGGTGACGTAGGGGTACCACATGTGACAAAAACCAGGGTAGGATTTTCTCAGGCTGTTCCATTGGCCTCACAGTTACGGCGCTGCCTCCCAGATTCAGGCAGTCCATCAGATTTATTTTCTAGTCTATTCCGCCTTCTCCAATCTCAAGAAACTTCTCAGCAGAAAGTTAGGAGAGGCTGCTAGTCAGATACCACTTTAAATGAGGACTCTGGGATGGCTGTCGCGTAGAAAGAAAGGAACCGATATTGGCTGATGGCTCATTGGGTGGCAGACACTGTTTTAAATGCTTGATGTGCGTCGCCCCAGTTGATACACACGATTATTCTGATCATTTATACATAATCAGGCTTCCTAGACTCCAACCAGTTCAACCATTTACAAATATTTCCCAACCACTTCTTTTTTAAATAAGTTTTTTTTAAGATTTTATTTATTTATTTGACAGAGAGAGATCACAAGTAGGCAGAGAGGCAAGGCAGAGAGAGAGGAGGAAGCAGGCTCCCCATGGAGCAGAGAGCCTGATGTGGGGCTCGATCCCAGGACCCTGGGATCATGACCTGAGCCGAAGGCGAGGCTTTAACCCACTGAGCCACCCAGGCGCCCCACCACTTCTTATGTGGCAAACATACTAGGTGCTCTGGGACCCAGGTGTGAACAAGTCAGACCGTGCCCCTGCCCTCGTGGGGCTCACTGCCTGTTCAGTACACAGATTGATGGGCGTCTAGCACAAAACAAAAATGGAGTCTCTGATTCAAAAATTATAACAAATTTCAGGAAGGCAATGGTGGAGTATTCCATCAAGTGTGGGGTCCTTCCAAAAGTGCCCCCACGGGCAACCACACAGGTTGTATGCCCACAGAGCCTGCCCTGAACTTGGTACACTAGAACAGGTGCTGTCATGGTACTGTCTACTCAAAAAAAGAAAAATAAAGCATGCGCTCTAATGCGTGAGCACACATGGAAGGGACCCCAGACTTGTGCATGTGCATGTGCACGTGCGTGTGTGCATGGGCATGCAGGGAGAGTGGTGATAAGGTCAAGGAAGCC